TATTGTTCTTCATTCGGATTCCTTGCATGTGGGAGTCAGCCCACTAAATGTTACTTGCAATTGCATTCAGTCAGTGCGTGCTATAGCATTTAGTCATTGTTTGCATTCAATCAATGATGCTTTGTCCATAAATAACTGCTTGATTTGACTGCTGATGATCCTTTGGATACATCTGTTTGAGAAATTGGCTTGGATGTAATGAGATAGGGAGAAATGAGATATTGGCCGATAAGCATGGGGATGTCTTGTAAAGTCAGGACACTGAATGTTGGTTTATGGTTGTGATACCTGCATATAGTGCTAGGCATGATGACAATCTCTTGAGGTCTATCTGCAGGTTAATACATCGAATGGAATAGCTACCTCTGAAATCATGGTATTTCATTATAATTTAGCATGTTGACTCTGATTTTTATTCCGTGTAGAATAAGGTTATGTTTAATGTTCCGTACTCTTTCAACATTACTAAATCGTGTGTAGCTCTGCATTCTTATTGGCACTTGGGATGGCTATCTGCATTCATGTCATTTTATATGGTGCAAATCTAGATGATAATTGGAAGTGTTCTTTGTTTTTATCTTATTGCTTGCATCCAAATTATAGATCCTTTAATTCCTGCTTCATTTGCGTTTTCTTTTGACTGGCTGAGAGATAGTGTTGATGAAAAAGGAAGGTCACCAAAATGATGCTGCAGGCTGTCTTGGTGCATAATATCATCAATGCATTGTGAACATGGAATGAAGCGAGGATTGACGCAATCATGCCTACAGTTTCAAGTCTTGTTTTAACTTATTCACCGGAACTTTTATTTAAATGATTATTTATTTATGAAGATATCGTAGGTAGATTGAGATTCTTTGTAATTTTAGATTTTGATAAGTGTCGAGGGAAGGTGTCGTTGATGCTCGAGTCAATCTGGTTTGGTCTTGACTTGGAGGCATAGAGATGTTCGTGGATCTCATTAGTTAGGTGGCTTTGAAATGATTGAGGTGGTTTTTGTACAACTTTGAGGTGGCTTTGTGGTAGGATTTGACTTCTTGGGGGGTTTTGATATAAAGATCAGTGTTGGAGGGAGAGGTTTTCAATTTGATTTTTTTTAATGCTTAAATTAGTTTTGAGGTTTTTATAGGATGTGAAAGGTTTTTTTAGAAAAAAAGTATGATTCTTGAGTTGACATCGGAGGGTTAATTTTTATACATGATCGGTTGAGAAAGTTTTTTGAAATGGTCTTAATATCTTTTGCTTTGGTGTTTTGTCCTCTAGGACGACAAAGGGGAGATAAGCTCGAATAATATTATGTGGACTCTTGTCCATAGATATCGATAAGTTATAACCATCTTGATGTTAGCAATAGGGGGAGGATGAGGATGATCAGGTTCCTTTTCTTCACCCAAAACACTCATTAGATTTGGATGGGTAAGATATAGGTTCCTTTTCTTCACCCAAAACACTCATTAGATTTGGATGAGGTAGATATAACAATTGAAAACCAAAGTATGTCATAGTCGATGAATATTGAAGATTCTAATTAAGAAAAAAAAATGGAGGAACGAGTGGATCTATTTCTTTTTTTTTTTTCTCTTTTACAGATTTTATAGATTTCTTTTATCCTCTCGTTGGGAGTTTTTGAGTTACGAAATTATTATGAAACTTTGAGTTTCTTCTATGTCTTGAATATTATATTTTCATATCTCTTTGGACATTCTCTCCCTGCTTTCTAATCCTTCCAAATTGCTACTTATTTTCATCACTTGCAAGTGCCGACCTTTTTCTTCACGTGGCTGTTTTGGTAATTACGCAGTCCCAAGCACACAGCCACACGGCAATATTACGAGAATGCCATGTGATCTAAATGACCAAAACACCCTCCTCGGTGACGCCCTGCGGCTCACATCACTCGTCATTTCATTTCAATCGCGTGGTCATTTCGTGGAGATATGGGTCGCCACAGTGCGTTCCAGAGACGCGTGCTGCGGTAAAATGGAAAATATGCGAGCAGCCGACATCTCCGCCGGAGCACCCGCGCCATACACTGGCTTCTAACCCGAGGCAGGGAGGTGAGGGGCCCGCTTCAAAGGACCTTTGCTTCTCAAGACGTGGCAAGTACGACGGCGGGTAGCGAGCGTGCCATGCCGCCCGCTGCAGCCGCCCAGGCGACGCCCTTCTCTCACGTAAGCGCGCGTACGGTACGTGATGTGCAGCTCCCGGTCTCCGCCACGTGTCTCCACCGCCAGCTCGCTCGCACGTGCCGAAACAACGGCCCAAAGAAACCGCACGCGAGAAGAATTTGGAGGACGCTAAGGCCCAAACTCTCTCCTCTTTCCCTCGACTGCTCGACTCCTCCCTCCTTCACATCTATTTCTGGTTCTTCCTTTTTTTTTATCTTCTCTCCCACGTTGAAATGGCGGCCACCTCCACTTTGTTTTTAGCCCTCCTCATATCGACGGCGCTCCTCACGTCACCTCGTCTCATCATCGCTTCGCGCTCCAGTACGTACATCCATCCCTATATCTTGGCATCACTCTTCGAACGCAGAATGCATTGGCCATCATCTTTCATGTGTTCATGTGTATGGCAGGTCTCCAAGCTAAGAAGACGGTGACACCAACGAAGTTCTCAAAGGTGAGAGACATCAGAAAGTCGATGAACATACAGAAGAACGATGTTATTTTGTTCGACATGCAGTTGATTATGTACATGAAAGCAGGTCGAAGGGGAGAAGAAGCTGGTGGGCGGAGAGCACCATGCCGGTACGCCGGCGGTGGTGGCGTCGGAAAGGAAAGTGCCCACCGGACCGGACCCGATTCACCACCACCAATCTCCCATCCGCCATTTCCGTTGATGTCCCCTCGTTGCATGAACCATATTGTCCTCCTCAGGAGGTACTGCTCTGGTCTCCGAGTTTCTTTTGATAGGATACGGGTGGTTTCATTTTCCTCTTCTTTTGTCGGTGGTGGGTGGAGAAGCTTTATCGATTTGCTTTTGAAGATGTGCTCATCGTTGTTGGCCGGACTAAATAGTTTTGATGGTAAAAGTATGTCACTGTATCCAAGAAAGGAAAGGGGGCAACCTGCTATGCCCGTTTCGACCTTTGTTGTTCTTTCGATAGATGATGGTGATGATGATTAGAGTTGCGAGTAGATTTATACGCGTTGTTTTCATATGAAGTTATCTTTTTCAAATACATAAAACATCATTCGTTCCGTCATATATAATTATTGATATCAAATCTAGACAACTCGAATGTAATGTATTTGAATAAAGTTACGATTTTTATTTCACCGAATCAATTATAATGAGTTACAATGCTTTGTTGAGTACTAGAAAACATTCCAACTTCACTCAAAAACTTTGTAATTCATTTTTTTTTTCTTTCTTCCACAACGAATGAAACAAATATTATAAAAATTTTCAAAATATATAAACATTAGTATAATGCTAAACGAGAAAAAAAAAATTAAAATATTTTTATTGTTTATTTTCGAAATATATAAAGACATTTATAGTCTTTATCAAAATCACTCACTAACCTTAACCCCCATTTGAATGGAATCCTAGAATGGCCCCATACATCTCTGCAAAAGCGTAAAAGGTATTAACCGAGATTAGAAGCTGAAATTTTCCTTCCCCTTTTCTAGCTAAAGGATTTGTCCGTGTCAACAAACAATTCGAAATACCTCGAGAGTTTTGGTGCTTTTTACTTTTAATTTTTTTAATTAACATAATTTAAGATAATAAAAAATATAATTTATCTATTGTTAGAACCATATTGGCACTTATAGTGTTTTCGTTAAAATCTTAGTTTGAAAATTTGATTGGATGAAACTGTAAAACTTAGAGCAAATGAGAATAGTAGATAATTAAATCAATAACTAATAGCAATAAAAAACATAAATGAAATGCACACCCAATTTGTAATAGTTCGATCGTCGCGACCTACGTCCATTTCATTGAGACAATCAAGTAACGATTTTCTTTCAATAGGTGAAGACCAACTATCCTCCTCACTCCTCCCTTAGAAAAATTCTAAAGGAAGAGTCTCTAAGTCACCCTTTTTATTCTATTTCTTATTATTGCAAGCAAGAATTAGTGGGATATTTATAATCCCCAAATAACTTCAAAAATGAAGAAAAAAAAACCATCGATGCAATGAGAAGTAATTTTTTTGCCGCTCTATATCTACGACTCGATAACTATGTTGACGTTAATGTTAACCCAGATGTCGCTCGGTATTTGCGTCAACATCGATGCAATTGTCGAGCAACTAATGAGTCTATGATGCAAATGTCGAGCGATCATTTTGTCGCTCAGTAATTGCATTGATGATGCAAAGTAATGAAAATATCGTGCAGTAACACGTTGACGTTAACAAAAATGTAAAATGATTCTCACCTCTCGTTGTTGCTTTATTCATCCACAACAATCATTCGTGATCGTCTACCACACATCATTCGTCACCACCAACTGAAAAGTTCGATCGTCGCGACCTACGTCCACTTCATTAAGGCAATTGGCATTCACTAACGATTTTCTTTCAATAGGTAATGCTCCGAGCGATCATTTTGTCGCTTAGTAATTGCATTGACACTGATGCAGATGCAAAATAATAAAAATATCATGCAGTAATTACGTCAACGTTAACAAAGATGCAGAATGATTTTCACCTCTCGTCGTTGCTTTATTCATCCACAACAATCATCCATGATCGTCTACCACACGTCATCGTGATTTTACGATCGTGTAACTATAAAGATATCAATATAATTTTTTAAAATATAAAAATTAAAATATCAAAGGATTTTTCTCTACTAACTTTTCGTAATGCTTGGAAACCATTTCACGTGAGCACGTTTACTTAATGATATGGCAGCATCGACACCACAATGGAATAAATCCCAAGAACTCGCTTGCAGAAAGAAAGTAAACTCTGTTCATCAACAAATTCACCGTAACATGCCTGATTATTGCAAATGCAATACGAGATTAGGATGTACACATGGTTGTACATGCAATTACTGGAGCGAGCCTTTTCAGGCATCAGAACCCCGAAGGAAGGAGGAATATACAGCTCTATGGAGTCCCAAATCCTCCTCTAATGGCGCCACCAGTGGATGCAAAAACGAAGGAAGGGGGTTGTTAGTCGAGACTCTCTCTCACCTAGCCCTAAGCCCAAGCAGAAACTCAGATGGCAGAGGAAGAGCGGATCAGCAGCACCGGTGTCCCGAGACCAAGTAGATCTCAGGAGGAGGTGAAGGTGGTGGCGGTGGTGGGGCACGAGGCAGCCGAGTTGCTGCTGGCTTCATCTCGTCCATCCCATCGCTGTGAAACGAAATATTTCATTCATCGCATCGACATCAGAGTGCGCATGGCCTTCCTCGCAGGCGGCTTCGGCGTCCTCTTTAGGTTATCCAGCACAAGCCTTTCCATCTCCGATATGGTGCTCTGCAGCTTCTTCTCGAATTCAGTCGGCTTCGGATCTTCGGTTGATGGATCGGCGAGAACACGCTCCGTAGTGGAAAGGGGGGTCTCGGAGGAGGATGGGGTGCGGAGTGGCTGCTGGGTTGGAGTAAGGGAGGAAAGGGTGGATAATGCAGCAGGGCTTGGGGAGGCATCAGAAGAGACATCCGATGGGAGGGCTTCACCCACTGGAGTGTGTTCGGAAGCATTCATTTCATCTACCGCAGGATCAGTCACAGGCGACGCCTCAGGGTTGGCGTTCCTCTGCCTGGCTCTTGCGGCCCTCTCACGCATCCTTCTCTCCAAGGCCTGCAAGTTCCCAAAATCCAATCGACTTAGAGATGGAACAAAAGCTACCCAAACCCTATCATAGAATTCACATGTTCTGGGCGAGAAAGTCCACATTGACGATGATGGTGATGTCACGGAGAGGCGTCCGAGGATACCAACTTGGCAGAGGACTTTTCCTGTTCCTGGGACGGCGTCGAGCTGTCGCCGCCCGTGATGGGTGTATGTTCTCCTTGTCGTCGATTGCAGCCACCAAACTCTGGATTCGCCTTCGTCTTGAACCCGGCATTGCCGCTGGGTAAGCTGCTCTCCGGATCCAAAACCCTCCAGTGAAGTCGCCCGTCGTCGCTCGTCTCGCCTCTGGCATTCCTTCCCACCTCTGCGACCACCAATTAGCACGAGGGCTTCAAGATCATTTACCCGGCAATTTATAGAGGAATAGAATTGGACGTTCAAGCTACCGGATCTTTCGTACATGACGAGCTTACTGTTTACCTAAGAACGGTTCGGATTCTTCCCGATCCTTTTCCTACTTCAACATCCAGAGGAAAAAGAGAAGAAGAAAAAAGAAAATGGAGATTTCCACTTCAAGATTACTTGAAGCAAGAAAATGCAAATCGGCGCCCAGATGAATTCATAGAGAAAAGGTTCTTGGAAAGAAAAAGATGATCCCATGTTCTACCAATATAACATTCAAGATCATCTATGTCTTTGTTCCCTTGTAACTCCAAAAGAAGAAGAATTGAATGTGGATAAGCTAAAGACAGATAAAAACACATGCAGTCGGTATCATACCCTGCTTCAATCGACAACAGCAGTTTAAAGATCCAAAGGGAAAAAAATGAGTTAATCAATGCAACATTCAAGAAAATGGATCATTGCAATGTAAAGATAAGTTTCTTACCGAAAAAGATTCAGATTCTTTTCACAGGTCGTCGACGACTCCAATAATCGAAGAAAAAGAGCAAACCCTGTATCGAAACCATGAACAAGACGGACGAGAAGAAAGATAAAGCAAAAACAAGCTCCTCTCCGTTTAACTGAAAATTGGTTCTTACCGAAAACAGCTTCGGATTCTTCTCTTCTGCTACAATTCCCGATCTATGATCGACTGAATCAAGCAAATACAATTCGAGGTCAAGAGAAAAAAATAGAAAGATTGCGAGAACTGGTCTTCCGAATCTATGCCTGTTTTCTTACCAAGACAACCCTCAAGATCTTCTTTTCTTCTTGTTCTTCCTTCCGAAATAACGAGGAAACCCTACGTCAGAATCGAAGTTTAGAAAGACGCGTCAAGAAAATAGGCATTGTTACTCAAAGCAAGCAGCATTTCTTACCGCAAAAGGCTTCAGATTCTTCTCCTTGTCTCGCCAACATCAGATCACAGATTCAACAAAGAAGAACCAAATCAGAGCCACAACTCTCGGGAAAAAGCAAAAGAAGTACCAAGAAGGCGATGTTTGTTGCACTACAATCCCATTGCTTACCCAAGCAAAGCTTCAGATCTCTCTCTCTCTCTCTCTGTTCTTCTTCGACGGCTTCTTTGACCTCTTCCTCCACGTCGTGTTCGCCTCCAGAAAGAGCGAGGGATACGGGATTGGGAATCGGCGGCTGGAAGCGAGGAAAAAGGACGAGGGTGTTCGACTTAAGTAGCATTTAGGGGGGAAAGAGGAGGTGACGGGACTCATAACTGCTTGGGCCGCAGAGTCAGGAAAGACGCTGGTGTTGCGGTCGAGGGATCACCCCGGTAAAAAGTTTCGCCCTGTTTCAAAATTTCAAATTTTTGGAAAATGGGCGGTCACAAGATGTCTGGTGTGCCGCAGGCACAATTTACTTAACTTGTTCACTCTTCATAATGCATGAAACTCCAAATCTGACACTGTTGCGTAAAAGAATCTCACTTTCGTCATTTGCTTTGCTATGTATAGGAATATGTTATTAACAATATCTAATGTCACTTACGATTGCATCCTTTAGGAAAACAACTTTATCCTCAACCATTCTGTCTTTGGACTATATACAAATGTATATATAGATATATACATATGTATATGTAGATATTATACGCCTTCCTTATTAGGGGAAAGATTCACCATTTTAAGCTTGATTTGCTGAGCCAAATACCAATCTACATTCACAATTAATAGTAGTCAACCGATCGCAACATCGGCTTCCTTTTGCTCTTATTTCTTTCTTTGAGGGGAACTAGTGATTCGTTCTTATCTCGCTTATCAACTTGCAAATCTTGAGAACACTATATATTCATCAATTTGCACATTGACTTAGATGATGCATCAGAGATTCCTACAATGTCCTGATCAAGAGGTTGACCCTGGAATTTGAATAGAACAAAGGATTAGGGATTTATGTCTCCAGGCTGATGCCACAGATCTGGAAGAACCAGCCAGGCATCATATACTTCGATGCCATGTTCCTTCAAAATATATACCATATATTCGTAAAGTGCTTGCTTTAGAGAGCACAATCACAATCCATTTCAGCTGTGCCTCTCTCATCACATTCTTCGAGTTTGATGTCGATCGAGATTTCCAACAAGTAAGATAGCGATAATGTTGCTGCAGTGTTGTCATGCTTCGGAGCTTCCTTCACGCGGTCTGCAAGTTCATCTTGATCTGAAAAGTCAGCTTCTTAATGTCATGAAACTTTCCATTGGAAGCTATTTGCAGTGGCGTTAGAGATGATCAGATGGAATCGATCTCTTACAGTTTGTCATCATCTGATCTTAATCGGGAGATGTGACGGTACTCTCTCGTCTTTGTTAGCTGCATGCTGCATATTATTTTCTGTGTGCCATTTGTTCTTACTTGTAACAAAAATATTTCTTCTCTTATCTTTACTGCAGATTCGATTCCCAATCTGGCGATTGTATGCTTCTGTCCTTCTCATGTCTCAATGTGCTTCAGCAGGTGGGCGTGATGGTCTCATGTGCTTCGAGCTGAAGGCACTTTGTTCCCGACACAGGAAGGTGCAAATCCAAGGAGAAGGCCGAGCTTCCCTGCAAGAAGAGAGAGAGAGAGAGAGAGAGAGAGCTGAGTTTTTACCAAATGATATTATAACTCCAATACTGACTGACTGCAACATGGGATGACAACTCGAATGAGAAGCTTCCCCAATAGATGTCCTCCCATGCAAATTTGATGGACAACAAGTTGTTGGTTTACATAAATGACAAGAACAAAAGAAGCCTATACTCAAAATTATTGAACTGATACATGAAAAAAATTTTCTTTGTGGACTCTCATATGTGATTTTTTTTATTTTTAATTTTTTATATAAAAAAATAAAAATGAGATTTCAAATTCTCAATTAAATAATTTTTATTTTGTGCATGCTTGATTTCTAACAAATTCTTATTTATGGAGTTCGAAGCCTGATCAGTTATTACGGGAGAACCTTTCCTTTGGTTCCATATAGCATCTCAGCCGTCGATGTCTACACCAGAAGTGAGATGCGAAACGTGGCAGAATGTGGACGGTCGCGATATTGAATTGCAGGCTTCCAAATCTCCCTGCTAGTTGGAGAGGATCCGTCACTGACTTCAAATTCTTTACACGAATAATTTTGCCGGTTACTTTCTCTACTCGTTTCGATTACCTTGTTTTCTATTGGAGAAATAGGGTGGTGTCTAATAGGTACGTCAGACTTGTGACATGCTTTTTTCCCACCACGAGGTCGGGGAAGCCTTTATCGCGTCCAACAAGTAAATGCTCGTTAGCTCTTGAATCGCCGATTTGCTCATTGGCACATCGGCTTAGAAGGCCGGAAGCGATCTACAAAGGCAAAAGCCAGACTTTTATGGTTCGATGCAATCGCTTGCTCAACGCTGAAGCGAAGAATTCGAGTTCACCATGGCGTGGGAGCTCCTCCTTTGGCTCCTCGCCTTTGCTGCTGTGATCGCTCTCATCGGGTTGAGCGCCTATCAGGTAAACCCTAAAATCCAAACCCTAGCTAATCCTCTCTCAAGAACATCCCACGCCGTACTCGGTTTTTGGCTTTGTTCCGTAAATTTTGGCGCCTTCTACTTCAGACGGCTGCGCTTCTGTCGTCTTTAGTTTTTGTTGTTGATATTTGGCCTGTGTTGAGATTTTCCATGAAGAATTGCCTTCTTTATGCTGTTCACACTGGTGCTTAGATTATGGTGTACGCTGCTTGCTCGAGTAGTGAATGCTGGTTTTAAGGGGAAAAAAAGATCTTGATTCCTACTTATTTCTTGTGCTCCACCATGAACATTGCATTTGTTCATCATGGCAATGATGAAGTCCTTTGTGGGGACTCTGTTGTGGTGATCCAAGGCACTAGTTTATCGATTTCTCTGACGAAATTCCCTTTAACCACTTTATTGTTATACTGCAAAATAAGAGTAGTCAATTAGGTAATTGGCTGCACCATGAAAGTTAATGCCCTTAAACTAATGCTGTTTTAGATTATTTTTCATCCTAGTGCATAATCTTTATCAATTCTTCCCTGAGCAGCTGAAAATTGTATTTAAGTGAAAGAATGATATAATGATTAGTATACAGGTAGCTCTATGTTTACAAATATCATGTAAGACTCTTGCAAGTCTTTTGGCCGTTTGCTGGAACTCAATGTTGAGCATGATCTTCTGATGCTATGCGTTAAACCATTCTGCAAGGCATCAAATTGGAAGTCAAGAACACATTCTGACTAGAAATTGTAGGGGTAAGAAAGTAAGAATGTAGAACAAAATAGAAGAATTTTTAAAATCATATGAAGCATATAATAATACACTTTGAATTGTTCAAGGCATTGAAGTTGACAAAACAAACATCATTAGGGCATCTTTATTGAAACTGCATGATGATGATTGGAAATAGAAACTGATAGCGTGTCGGAGAAGATGTCGAAAATGGAACTATGTTGGGAAGACATGTTGTGGGCATATGCTAGCCTAGAGATCAAGTCCACAGGTCCTAAGTCCTCATCCATCGGAATAGTTACAGGAAAGTGATCATGGTTACCCCAAGATATCATCTGTGTTTAACTTCCCATAGGCCCAACAAGGAACTTGGTGTACGTGATCACTAAAACCATCATGGAGTGAAACCGTCAAGGAATGCCTTGTCATGTATTAGACCCATACTTGTTGCTAGCCAGATTGGTACGCACCAATTGGCACATGATACACTGTACATATTGGTGTTTCAAAGACGAAGGAGAAAAGGAGTGCACAATGGAGGAGGAAGGAGGAAGAAAAGGGAAGAAGAAGAAAGAAGAGGAAGCAATGGAAGAGGAGGAAGAAGAAAGAAGAGGAGAAGGACGAGAAGAGGAGGGAGCGTACTGAGGAGGTAGGAAGTGGCAACGGCCATGATGACGGTGGCATCGGTTCCACAGGCCAAGTGAGAAGAGGACTCTCTTTCGTGAACTCTAATAGGTGTTTAAGTTTTTTTTTTTTTTTAATATTAAGTTGGATCGGGCTGTTTGAAATGGATGGTCCAGGTCTTGTAAGTATGGCCTGTTTCGCACCAATCCAGGCAAGACTGACTTCCTTCACGACTGTGACCATTTTTTTACCAAGGTAGTATGAGGCTCTTTGTTTGCTGCTTGTTGATTTACTTGATTGGCTTTGCTGCAAGCCTGCAACATTTAAGTTCTAGTTTTCAAGAAATAGGTCAAGATTTCCCAACACATGAAGGTGGCCAAAAGCAAAATCAAATGGGAGCTGAGTACACTGTGAGCATATTCCTCTCCATGATAACAAAGCAACCAAGTGGGAGTGCAAGTGCATGGGATAATGGAAAATTTAATGCATGTGATTTTAACCTTAAATAGAAGATTACAAATCGATCTTAAACTTCTCTGTGATTGTTAATCTGAAGGCTGCTGCAGAAAGAACTGTATGATAAATGAAATGGACTCTATGCCAAATTAGCAGATAGATCATAATTGGATAGTTTTGGGGTTTGTTCAGTTTAATATCCTGCAAAAAGATGTGTAGTGAAATACAGGGAAGAGGTTGCTGCTAGTGAAAACAGCATGTGTACAACTGAACTACGGAAAAGAAAAAGATGAATGGGAACCAATTAGATTTGACAGGGCCATACTTGATTGGACCATATAAATAACAGAAACGACTGGAAGATTGATATATAAGTGACCCAAAAAGGAAAAAAAATACAGATAAGGTATTTATAGAAAGAGAAGAGAAAGACCCATCCAAGCCAATTTTCATTGTTCATGTGTCATTATTAAAAGAAAAATCTTCTAAAATTATAAAGAAACATATTATACCTGCTAGAAAGCCTATGAGCCATATTGTCCTACCTAAAGATTTAACTAATGTCGTAGGGCTTAACGTCTTCAACCTGATATATACCTAAATAAGTTCCATAGATATCAGTCCTACTCAAAGTAGAATTCTAGAAGCACATCTAGTATTGCATGAAAAATAATGGCTAAAGTCCATTAGAGTCCTTCTAAGAGAAGGATAAGCTTGTCCAAATGATTCAATTAAATACTCGGAAGTGTTTCAGCTTAGACTTATTTTATTTTTCGTGCATCAAAACTTAGGCAAAATGATTTCCGTGATATAATTTACCTTTATGACACACTTGCTTTATCACCTTTATAATCGATAACTAAAACAAGTTCCATAGATACCAGTCCTACTCAAAGTAGAATTCTAGAAGAACATCTAGTATTATATGAAAAAAGAATGGCTGAAGTCCATTAGAGTCCTTCTAAGAAAAGGATAAGCATGTCCAAATGATTCAATTAAAGACTCAAAGTTTCTCAGCTTAGAATTATTCTATTTTTCGTGCATCAAAACTTAGGCAAGCTGATTTCCGTGATATGATACCTTTATGACACAGTTGCTTTATCACCTTTCTGTTTCTTTTGGTTGATTGAAGTAGTGATTTTGGTGTATTGTTGGTTTAGTTTGTCGATATTCTTCAGTTTGATCGATTTTTTGAACTACCTTTTTGTTTCTTTGTTTTCCAGATGTGTTCCTTGCAGTTTCTACAGCCTGTGGTTACCATGATGATATGAGTTTCTAACTATGCTATTTTTTCTCTCTTCTAACCTCTTTTTGGTTGTCCTTATGAAACAGCTAATTTGCTTATCTGATTTGGAATTTGACTATATCAACCCATATGATTCATCATCGCGTATCAATGCTGTCGTGATTCCAGAGTTCTTGGTGCAAGGAATTTTATGCATTTTATTCCTCCTGACGTGGCATTGGTTTCCATTTCTAATAATGGCTCCCATCACTTATTACCATATAAAACTGTATGTATATATCTTGCCTATTGTTATATATCTATTTTTGTTTCTGATGTGTTTTTTAGTTTACTTGAAAATTCTTGGAGCTACCAAGATGTTCATATATGATATCTTTGCTGCATAAGTGGCATCATTATCTGCTGACCCCATGCTAATGTTCAGTTATCAAACTTCTAAGATGTATTCTGGTCTTTCCATGATCTGAATCTGAACACGTCATTATGCCTGATTTATCTGCTTGATGTTTGTGAAACACCTCAATAGTTAAACAAAGTTCTAATACTTCATGCATGTCAGTCTTTTTTGTCACAATTCAGATTTGTTGATCACACATAGAATGGGTTTGGTTCTGACTTAGCAAAGTTTGGATCTATGTGCATCCGCTGTATCGTGCTTAGTGGAGGTTTTTGCCTGTACATCTATGTATGGGTTCAAGCACTTACAAAATTATATAGACATCATTTGTTTTTTGTTTATTATGGGTCTTGCGTTCTAAAAAGAAGCCTCAGAAACTGAATTTGGTCCCATATCAAGACTTAGCAAACAAAAAAGAGAGAAAGTGTACCTTGATTTATTGTCAATTAAACTTGAATATATACTTATCATACATATTACAAATGAAACTTGTGGAATGGTCATCTTTCACTAGTATGTTATCTTACTGTTGAGTGATCTTTTGCATGTCTTGAACATGTTAATGTGCATGTTCTAATAAAGTGGTTGGCTTTTCATTATTTATCTCATGCAACTCATGACATCTTTTGTTTTCTAAATTCAGAGAAATGGAAGTAACTTTACATATGATGCATTTTTTACCACAGGTATATGAAAGGGAAGCATCTAATTGATGTTACTGAGATATTTAGATTGCTGAATGGAGAGAAGAAATACCGAGTAATCAAGCTTGCTTTCTATTGCAGCATTTTTATTGTAGTTATTTACAGGTATGCTGCTAGGTGACAATTGTTTGTCTTTCATGTTCAGAAAAGCAAAATCATGTGCTATTGTTAGAATTCATGTATGTTTGATTCCTTAAATAACAACTTATCACATCCTATTGATCATGGGGCCATACTTCTGCAATCTGCCAGTGAAAGTGGAGCGAAAAGTATAAAAAATGTTGAACTTCCTCCTCCATCCAACCAAGCCATGAACAAAGACCTAAACAATAGGAACATTTGTTGAACCCCAATTTTTTGCTGTTCTCGAATCTTCACATGAACAATTATTACTTAGTTCAAGGATAATAGTAAAACAATCTAATACAAAGCTGAATTTTACTTAAAGCTGTGAAATGCAACAGTAAACTGTGGTCAAGTGTCTCCATTGACTAAACTATTGCTGTACTGTGCTTAGTCATTGGGTTTCATGGTGTTATTTCTGCATCATTATCATGTTTATTAAAAATCTTAGGATGTTAAAATTTCTGATCATTGGTAAGGCTAAGATAACGAAGAACATTTATGATTACATGGAAAATATCTTTAATTTCCTTGTGTGATACATGTACTAACATTCTCCAACTCTCATGGGTTTCTTTTTCCTCATTTCTTCTTGTTTCTGCTATTAGTTCTAGTATTGCTATTATCAAAATTGATGTCCTCACATTCATGCAACCCTTCTTGCAGGCTTGTTACAACTTCTGTTCTTTTACTTATAGAAGAAGATGATCAGGCTTTGGAATCTGGGATATTTTAGTATTTGCTTCTAAAGGTACACAGTAATTCTTTGTCCCTAGATTCTTGATGGATGTTGTCAGCTAAATCATTGAAAAATCTTCTGCTTGCCTGAAGGTGCAGAGCATGAATACTTTTGTCATGATCAGCATCTGAAATCTAATGGACTTGTTTACGCTTCACTAGATCAAATCCTCCATTATCGATCTGATCTTCTTACTATGCTGTTCAGATGATCTAAGTTCATGTGTCAAAAGTGCTACTTCACTAGATAATCCATATACGTCTGAACTTTCTCGTTTAATGTCATAAAGAGTCAGGGTTACCTTAAATTTGATCCTTCATGCCGTGTGGGTGACTAGGTAGCAATAGTGAATTTTGTGATCAAGAATATCATACAGGCTTTGCTGCTTTAATATTAGAGAACAACATTTTTCTTAGATGTTGTTAGATTCAGTTTCAGGGGAAGGAGAAGCCTCCAAAGTGATTTAAGCTGCTAAATTGAACTAATATTATCTCTGGAAAATACAAGAAAAAATGATGAGAAAAGTCTTCACATACTTATAGGTCCACAAAGGCCTCTTGTCACATTATCTTAGTATTTTCATCTCTAACTAGACTAGAAAACTTATCAAAGACCAATTTAGCCCATAAACCAAGTCATTTTTCTAGTCTTCTGTAGGAAACACATGATATATGATAAGGCTAGAGACATATGAAAGGTTAAGGTTTGCTTCAAGTTCTAAATTGTATTGTTTCTGTTCCTTGCACCTTGACACCCATTAGTTCCAATGCATCAAATGACCATAGTTGGTTAATAATGAGGGAGTTTTTCTGATTCACTAGTTGCATTTTTAGATCTGTCAAATTTGAGGTGCATTTAACTCGATTGCCAGCTTCAAGAAGTTACTCTTCTGAAACTCCAGGCAACTTCAAGAAGTAAATCGATTAAAAGGTGCTTTGTTACCGGTGAAGCTGCTGTCATCTGGTGTTGGATAATAGGAGGATGCATTTGAGATGATTTGAGCGTTTACTTTTTTTTTTCTCTGACACTGGTTTCATCGATCTTTCACTCTCATTTGACCAAGATATATTATTGTGTATTAACATGATGCTGCAAATTGTTAAGCGTAAATCTCATGTTGTCGACTCTTTTATCTTGTGGTTACCGTATTGGATTCGCATGTTTTGTGTTGTTGTTTTAACTTTCAAGCTGCTTGCTTAAACATGTAGTTATCTGGAGAGTCAAAGAGGAATACGTACACCAATTGCTATCAAGTCGATTTATGAGATTGCAGATAAAACTAGAGAATAAGCCACCACGAATAGCGTTCGCTGCTGGTGAATTGAGTGCGAATGATTATGATCAGCAGGAAGAAAAAGGAAGGTACCTCTCTAGTGAGCTTACCGAGTGTCCCAATGCAATTCGGATTCGGGTCGCTTAGGCTTACCGTCGGTGAGCAGCATCTAAATTTGTAATTGGCCTTCCGAATGTGCCCGACGGCAGCGGGTATGGTCCATGAAGTCCAAAAACTCGCTGTCTGTTTACCTGATGTCAGTCGATACGAGAAAAGTCGTCCCCAAAATAATCTTGGCCCGAGAAATGGTTGTCGAGCGGGTGCCTTATTCCCACCGTCCGTGAATAGAATCTAGATTAGTAACGGGCTTAAATGGGCCCGAGAAGTGTAGATACTCTCTGGTGAGTTTACCAGGCAGGCGTCACCGTTACCAGAAAAATTTGTGTTGCTCCAAATCCTTCGACTTTGGCTTCCCTTTTCGCACATGCGGTGGGCAGAACACAGACTCGAGTGGCCCCCGGTCGAGATGAGCAATTCGGGACTCTTCTTATATTTGCTCCGTGGCTCAACACATCTCCTTGGTATGTGCAAAAGTAGACAGAGCCAAGTCACCACGTTTTCGGTATCCTAAAGGCCAAAAATCTTCACTGAAACTATAGCTGTGACAACATCAAGGTTAATTAAAGGACTTTAAACCTAGTCGACACAAGTCACGTTAAGCATCATCACTCGCAAGTGCAATCACGGATTGACTCACCTTCGTTATGCTCCACAATGGTACAACAAGATGCACGGTCCTGATTCAACCACGTCGACTCCTTTGACCAACTACAGCAAAATGACACTTGGCTTATAAATAGGGAGGGTGTAGACGAAAGGCACTGACGACCACTTCACTCACACCTCTCTTCTCCATTCTCTCCACGCTTCGTCTGCACGCATGCAGTACCACCATGCCCGTTCCTCCACATCCCATGCAGCGCATGGAGGTGAAGCATCAAAAGGGAGAGTGGGAGATGCCACTGATCCATTCGAGTAATGGTCTCCTCCAGTAACAAGTTCGGCGATGTCCTACCTGAGCTTTTTCCTCCCTTCCTTGGTCTTTGTGCGCCCGGAGGCCGAGGAGGAGCCTTCTCTGGCCTGCAAGTCGTGCTGCATTCTTGACCTTGCAAGGCCATATCTCCAAGTGGCAGGTCTTGTTTCTGCTCAAGGTCCGCATGATGGGTCAAAGTAGCTCCGTTTATCTCCAGCACTGTCTATCCCTTCTGAGCTCTATCGACAACTCCCACATCTTTCCTCGTCTTCTTTTCTGCCAAATGAAGTTGCAGGAGAAGGCCACTCATCCCTTAAACTTACTCGTCACGTATCTTGTTGTTGTAACCTGTTTACTACGGCTGTTTAAGGCTCTTATCTGGTCCCAGATGATTGATTCTCCTTTATGATGAGATATAGTGACTGACCGGAGCACTTGTCTTCTGCATGATTTACAGAGTGGAGCTTTGATTAACTACATATGAGAATGACCGAGTGATGTGTTCCTACTACTTAGAAGCCTATACTTGAACCGTGAAAAGGTCGAAAAGTCAAACAGATGCAGTTTATGTGCATGTCAGGTGACGACGTGTTCTCATATGTGAACCATCTCTTAGCTTTTGTTTGGAATCTTGAGTTGTGATGAAGCTCGTGGTTAAAAAGTGAGCTTGATAGAATTATAAATGGCTTCCAGTCCATTCTCACATGCTTGCATGATATGATCCCTAGTGGTGCACACTTTTTAGGGTTAGAACATAGGTATCTTTAACAAAGTTTTTGTTAGGGGTTAGGCCATAGGCTCCTTTCTCCAATCAGCTGTGCGATTGACCCCTCCACCAATTTGTGTTGGGATCACTGGGATTCCCATTCCCGTGTTTAAGTTCGCAAATAATATGATTTTAGCTCATTTGCTCGTTCTTATATATATGCACATAGGCCATTAGTTGAGCTATCCTGGAACGAATTGCCTTCCGTTTGGTCATCTTGAGATCTTGATCGACGACGTACTATTGTTTCCATGAACAAGGAAAAGATTTCTAGCAACAGATATTATATGTTTGATGTTGCATGTCGAATCACAAATGAACTCCAAACAAATCCCACCCGGATCTTTCTTTCAAACCAAACCAATGTAGAATGAATGGAAGAAAGAAAATACAAATAGGGATAAGACAATATCACAAGCAATTATTCGTTCCCGGAACTGTGGGTTCCTTCTTCCTTTCTCCTCATGAAGCTACTGCAAGTAGAAGGCGAAGAAGGAGAGGACGGAGGCCCCGATGACGGCTCCGACGGCGGGGGTGACCGCGAAGGACGCGCTTGCGGGGCCAGGAGCCGGGGCCTCAGCGGCCAGGGCGCCGGTGGCCGAGGCCGCGGCGACGAGGACGGCGCAGGCAACCTTTCTCATCTCCATCGCTAGCGGTGGGCGGCGAGGAAGACTTGGGTTGGGGACCGCCCTTTAAGCCGCGGAAGAGATGAGGAAGAGGGACTTGTTGCTTGTGCAGGCCTGAGGAGGAATGCGGAGGGGATGGGAGGGGATTTATAGCGTGTTTCGGTGGCTTCGATGGCTCTTCGGAGACGGTAAAAGCTTGGTGGTGATGCGTTGCAACGGAGGCGGGTTTCACGTACGTGCTGGCATGTGGATGGGAATTGGTCCATGGTCAACGCTATTGACCGAGCCCTTCGTGAGAGGTTACAGGCATGGTTGTGGAAGCAAAAAAGCTTTCTGCTACTGCAGATTCATGAGGACGATATCTGAATGAATGCCCTTCGAAGAACCAAAACCCTAAACGTTATAAATACCTGATCATAGTTTCAGAGAGAATGTTAGCGCAGAGTTCGGAATGCACTCTGAAGAACCGAAATCCAAACAAGAGAAGATGGCAATGGCAAAGATGTTGGACATCATCCTAGCTACGAGCATGCATGAGGAATAGAGTGGTTAGGGTTCATGTAGGTGCCCATTCGTTGGTCATTCTCTCCTGTATGCCAGATGACAAAGTCCTTTGATTTAGCCAGTCTGCCAGTGTGGATTTGTTTGGGAGTGACCTGCGAATCTCCATGCTTCACATCATGTCAAGCAGTTGGAGCCAAGCTTTCCATGAGATATGGCTAGTGTGCAATGATCGATTGTGGCCATCACAAGCACCGAGAAATCAGCTGCCGACACACATTATGGAGGAAATGATTCATTTGCATGCTGGAGTATGGCCGCAGATCAAAGGAGAGTAAATGGCAATATGAAACACCAAGGAAGTATAAGCTGCATTCTGATGCTGGTTAACCAAAAACATACTTTGGATCTGAAGAAACTTAAGCTTAGTTGCGGAAGAATTGGCTTAGCATATCCATTCACCCCTACAACATATGATAACAGTTCAATCATCATTAGGGCAGCTGTGCAGTTCTCGAGTGGGGTTGGGGGATATCTTATGAAGAGAGGAGGAATTGAAGTATTTATTGGTTTCGGACTCCACCAAAGATGACAAGTTGTCAACCTATATTAATACAACATATTTTAATTGTTCTTCCTGGAATAATAATAATAATAATAATAATAATAATAATAATAATAAATTTTCGTATTGCTACATATCCAAAACTTTTTTCAGTCATATTTAAGTTCATATTGGCCTATGCATCAAAGTGATTTTGTGATGTTAGTCCTATAGTCGACACAACACTTTGAGATACTCATCATGAAAGAGCTTTCAACACAAAATTTTATAATTAATTGGACTTTTAATCTGAAAGGTTGCATATTTTTCATGAAAAATGTCTAAATTTGATAGACCACAGGTCTACATGTGTTTGTATTGAAAAAAATAATGTTTCATAAGTTTGTGACTTAAGACTACTATATGTGTATGTATATGTATATATATGTATCATCATCCGTAAACGATGGATCGAAACAAGTATAGAAACAAGTGTAGATAAGCATAGCCAAAGAACTCAACATTTGAAGATATTAATGCTATCTAATATTGAAAATGAATATATTCGAGAAAGAATAGTACTAAAAGACATTCATTGGATTTTACATGTGTATAATACATAGAGTTAAAAATAATTTGTAACAAGTCAATGACTTTGCAATACTATTTATGTATGCATTACCTGTAAACGAAACTACAGACTCAAACAAGTCTAAAAAACCTTGGTCAAGAAACTCAAGATTCTGTAATGCCAAGGCTACCTAATCTAGCAATTCGATTGTAATCTATGTATAGGCATTTAGACGGTGGCCAATGACCCTTCATCTCACCGATCATTGTCATCTCTTGGGTGTTCATATTATAGCAAACCAATATTCTTTTCCGTAGAGAATTCGATAACATCTCCATATAAATCCTATCTCCACCTGTGAATGGGAGGGGTTCAAATAGTTTGAATTCGGATGATACTGTGGGTATGTTCTCCGAGTAAAATTTCTTGATCCAGTCTCCATCCTTGCTCATCATCCATATTGTTAATGTATCATTTTGCGAGAATCGAGTGCTCGTTAAAACTCCATCATCTGTCACCCCAAGCGCATGTTGGGACACCGAATTTTCAGCCTGTGGAAGCAGTGTGTAACCTGCGACATCCTCATCCACGTCAAACCACAGTGCATAGGGATTGCAATTCCAATATATGATTCGTCCTGCACAAAAAATATCCCACGATATTCTTTTGCCTTGAGGGATCATAATCTTGTGATTAGACATAGTCCACTTCCTAGTGCGAGAGGAGTAAATCTCAAAGGAGAACTCTTCTTGGAGCCCTTTTCGTTGTTGTACAAGATTTACTAGTCGATAACAAGCTGGAGTGATCGAAGGATCAAA